ACATTTACATATTGCTGCGTTTTAAAATTTGGCATATTTGTTGAAAGCGGTAATAACGAAAATTTGGTTTACGCACTTTGCTAAAATTATTTGAAAGTAGGGACGGATGTGACGTTTTTCCGCTCATCCACAATGTTAAAAGGCAGGAACAACGTAACTTTTTTCCCACTCCTGCATAATGGAAGAGAAAGAAAAATAGGTTACCACTTTCGCCAAGTGAATTATTGTTGGCTCAAAATGAAAAATATAGACCAAGTTAAATTTTTAAATTTCTCCGTAAAATTTCACACCAAATTTTACAAAATTTGATATTTACTCATAATTTGAGCCGTAGAATTAAAATATGGGAAAAAATTCGTATGTTATTTTAGAAAAAATCCCATTTTGTGTCAAAATACCTATCTTAGAACAAAGCTATATATATATCAAATATATATTTTAAGTCGTTCTTTCGAGACATAGAAAACGCAGTTTGAATTTCGTCAGTCGGCCCAGTAGAACGGGAGATATAGAATTGTTCCATTTTTTTTCCTTTTGCGCAGTGTACCTTTTATAAGACAATATTCGTAATTAGCATATCCACGCTTATACAGTCCCTTGTATGCCCATGTAATATTTATATTTTTACATGGAAGAAACAATCCCTTCTGCCAGGATGACTAACTAACACTCTAACAATTTAAGACTTTTACAACAAAGTCAGGTCAACACTCTAAGACTTTTACAACAAAGTCAGGTCAACACTCTTAAGACTTTTACAACAGGATTAACACTCTAAGACTTTTGCAAAAAAGTCAGGTCAGTGGGTATCCCAGGCTGCGCTCAGCTCACAGCAAGGTACAGCCATAAACCAGCTAACAGCCATCAACAAAGAGGAAGAATGTGAGTGGTAACCAAGAATGATTATCTTAACTTTCTTCAGACATTTTGTTGCTGAGAAGTTGAACAGTGCGGGCTGGAATTTTCACGAAGAGAATAAAATATGCCACTAGGTTTATTATATAAGTTGCAAAAAATAGTGTGTCAAAGGAAGAGATACAAAAATTGCATAATTAGAGCGCTGAATTAAATCTTTGAGCAGGACAAGAAAGCATGCGAGTTCATTCATATGCATAAATATGCACTTTAATTAAAATAATACATTAATTAGTTTACGTTTATATTATTTGCACAACATACTACTTAATCTTAGAAATTAGTAAGGTCTGGCTACTAATAAAGCACCCATTATTTCAAAGATAACGTCTTGTTTGTCAAAACAGAATGTAAGACCTATCTGTATTATTCCACATAAACTAAATTAGATACTACAATGAACCTGGCGAATTCTCGCACAGGCGTGAATTAAATACCAGCACAGAAGAAGGGTGCGAAATAACCCTTTATTAAATCAAACTAATTTAACAGAAAGGCACGAACTTCGTGCGTTACAAAAACACCGTTCACTTGCGGTGGTAACTAAACGTAGACTATAATACAAGTCAACCCTGAAAATAAATAGTGCAAGAACCAAGGAGGTTAGAATATAAGGAGGGAGGGTTCGCAGTTTCCTCCACTATCGGGGAATGAAACTCCACCGAACAAGCGGCGCCCATGTTTGTAACTTCAAAACATTGCATTACGGCAGTGAAACGTACGTGTTTTTAAGCTGTTCCGTGCATGCATTTTCCACTAAAAATATATAAAATTTATAATGAAATACTTCGCTATTGTTAGTTTTTTGTTTCAAAGTTATAAAGATGATATCCATAATTTACTACGTACAGAAAATCATTAAGAAATAGTTCGAAATCTAAATTCATGTGCATAACATTAAAGCCTTTAAAAATAGAATTTGTTTAGGTTTTCATAGCAACCTGTTGGGTGTACTTTCCAGTTTTTCCTTTAAGAAGTGATATTTCTGATTAATTCACAATATTTTAATTTATTAAAGAATCATTTAAAATATATTTAACCTGAAATTAATAGCAGATAATTATCTAAAAAAATAGTCACAGGTTGCATTTTTTTAAATGAAAGTTTTAGAATATATCCTTTTCACAACTAACAACCTTATAACAACAAGAAAATAAATATTAATAAAATAAAACAGATTTATGGGAATTTTATATCAGTTTATTTGTTTCAAATTTATGAATCTCAAAGAAATTGCCTTGAATTACAGCAAATATGCATACTATTCTTTCAAATCTTTTTGCAGCATTATGCGCAAAAGTTTTTAAGACCATATAGGTCTTACGTCTAATTGCCAGTTCGCTTTGCATTTTCTTTTTCAATTATATAAATTCTTGGATACGTATTTCCACATGTTCAGCTGTGTTAATATTTTACTTACTTTTATCGCTATACTGCACAGAAATTTGTAAGTTTATGCAAGCAATTTTTAACAACAGAATAGTTTATCTTGATCAAATGCACAAATTATATTCTTAACAATTCAAAAAACTTTAAAATGAATAATAATTAATACATAAAGAAAAGCATTATTTTATTTAACACCTTTAAAATTCATAAAAATAGTAACAATTGGTGTTTTACTTTTCATGAAAATTATCAAATGAATTACCTAAAACGTTCAAATTATACAGTTTAAATCCTAGCATACATCATTGTATGTTAAGGAACAAAGATACCAGCTATAAATAGAAACATTAAAATGTATTTAACATATTTTCATTATTATTAAGTCCCTTTTTTTACATCTGGAAAGAAAACAACATGATATTTTTTACCATAGTTATCAAATTACATAAAAAAAAAGAAAATCAATACTTACGCGTGAAAAGTAATCCCAGGAATCTTTTTCGAAAATCTGTTTGTGCATCCATATACAACACAAGCTGACATGCTTCGAAAAGAAAAGGAAAAAAAGTATTGCAAGTACAGACTTCCTTGCACAAATCACAGCGATAACAGAAACATGGCCGCGAAGCTTCACCGTTTGAGTTGAACCTTCCCTCCTTCTATTTTAACCTCCTTGGCAAGAACGCATTCCAGTTGGTACTTTTCCGTTTTGCCGGCGCAGGCGATAAAGCCGCCAATAATAGCACAACTGATGCCAAATGCAGTTTCCTCGCTGGTAACCTTTTACGCCTCAGTTTCAAAACAAGTAGCAGCAGTTTCTTATCAGATTGATTGCTTCTTTCAATACTGGCATACAATTACATAGAATTTTTACCTGGATAGTTTAATTGCGGTAATAGAATTTTTACCGGGATAGTTAACCCTAAGGCCATTCGCGGTAATTAAGTCAATTAGGATGCAATCACACCACTCCCTCGAAGACGAAAATATAGAAAAAGGCAAACTCAAGAGTTAAATTCATCAATTCTAATGAGAATTCACTAAGCGAAGTAAAGCACTGCGGTTTTACATAATTTCAGAGTAAGCTATTCATACGAATTGAAAAGATTCTTGCATTTTAACTTGTATTCCAAACTAAGATTTAACTTGAAATTAATGTCGATGATTACTGAGAGAATTATACTTTAGTAGCGTAGTTTACGTGAGATGAGATCACTCGGGGTCACGTGATACGAACCGGCGAATCAGGATGTTGAACCATGAAAGCATAGTAAATTCTTAAATGTCTTTTTACAAATTTATTGTTTTTAACAAAAAAATTCTTAGAACTAACATTTGTTAACATTTTTTATGTGTATACTGTATGTTGTCGCCAATAAAGTCTGCTTGGCGAGAATCGCGCCGGCGAAACGGAAAAGTACCCTTCAATTTACGCCTAAGAAGTGGACTCACAGAAATCTAATCGGCGTGATACTAAACTGATAAGGCTAAGAGGCTTACTAGCGTGACTGCAAAATAACAACGAAAGGTGCGCTTGGCTAGCGAAACACGCTCTGAATAAACTGAGATAATCACACATTTAAATAGATCTTCACTGAACTTTAAATTTACACCCTGTCGAGAAAATGTGAGGGGAAATTGAGAAGCTTAGAACAGGAAAACTTAAAATTAATTTGTTATGCAAAATAAGGAAAACCCTACAAGAGTTCGATAATTAACAAAAAAAAGTATGTGGGAATTCATTTAATTTATCTAGCAGTTAATTTTATTTTTGAAACAACTTTTTCCTATTATTCTCGTTTTTCAACCCACGCGTCCTTGCTAGAATGTTAATGATTCAACGCACGTGTATTCAGATAAGGTAAAAAGAAGTTAGTATTTCAAGGAAGGTTTTGGAAAGAGAGGACAGCGTGTTCTGCCGCCTGAAGATCACGTTGCTATCCTGATTTACTAGCGATTAGATTCCTGTGGCGATGAGCGCTTCTTGCCATTAGGCTTGTTTATGCCGACTTTTACGAGCCAGAGCCTGCCTGCGCGTTAAGTAACCTATGAAAGGCCGTTAGGCTAATTTATTTCTATTTTATTTTAAGTTACTTGTTACCTTTTGAGTTAAGCCAGAAGTGTTGGCTTTTTGTAAGGTGCTATCTGTGCTATCTATCGGAGCTATGTGTGAAGCTATTGAGTTAATAAAGCGTTTTTACACATTTCTCCGGACCTTGTCGTTCTTGAGAATAATTCCTCGCACAATCTTCTAACATTTCGTTAGTTTATGATGTGTTTCGTTAGTTTTATCATAGTTAGTTTATTAGTTTATGCTTGCTAAGAACAGAAGACGCTATCAGTGATGTCGACTTATACGGAATGTCGAGTAATCCGGAATGGAGTTTGCAGGTCTCATCTGTTTGGTTTCCAATACAAATTTATTTATCACTTATGGATCGATTACATTATTATTTATATTTATAATAGAAATTACATTAAATAATATATTCCATAATATAACAATGAATAATATATTCCATTCTAATTGTTATCGAAATAACAATTAGAGAAATTTTAGAATATTCATAATATTAGATTTATAAACGAACAGCAGAAATTAAATGTGTACTGTAATGAAAGGCATAATAAATTTTTAAAGCTTATTTTATACGATGAACATTAAGAAATAGCGTATAAATTAAACGATGACTCACCAAACAGAGATTCTGGTATGACTCCTGGTAAGGCAGGATTAGAAGTTCCCGTTCCAGATTGGAAATAGAGACTTCGAATGGGGCCATCTCGTCGAGGTGGGTGAGCTTAACATAAAAAAAATAAAATAAAATAAAAACGTCAGACGAAATATTAATCTATTCTAATAAATCTAAATGCATGCTAACAACATAAACGCAGTGTTTTTGTTAATTAAACAAATGCGATAAGTTACACGCCCTGATAATAAATTAAAAAAATTTAATAAAAAAATGGCTCACTATTAGAAGTCATAGTCAAATTTCCTTGCCCCTTCTAATCTTTATTTTTCTGCTTCGGAAGGCGGAAAAATAATCTCTCTAATTAATTACTGGACAATTCCGAAAGTTTTCAGTTATTTATATTAGTTTTTAAATGTATGTAAAGCTTTTTGAAAAAAATTATAAATTAGTGTTGAATTTATTTTATTAACGCTTTTCATACTTGCTTTCGAAAAGCAATTCTAAATAAAGATGACTCACTTCACCCACTGAACGGAATGGCACCATAAAACAGTAATAACTTAAACAACATCGCATCTTAACATTGAGATAAATAGGTAATAGAAAACTAAATTAGTTATATTTCAGATATCTGTCGCTGTAGCATAGCCATTAAATTGCATACAAATGAACTTTCAAAGTTATTAAGATAACAGTACGGATTTCCAGAACGTATTACCTACATGCGTTTAACGACAAGTGTTAAATGTATAACATACACAAGTGTACTTGAATCTACAGAATAAAAGACATAGGCAGAGTAATATTTCAGCCGAGAACGAGTTTTGCATTAGAAATATATTCTATTTTTTTATGTTTAAAGTAATAACGGCATAACACGTAGCATTAACTCTATGCATGGCTACTGTAAATTGTACATAAATATTTTCTACGAGTAATTTGTAACTATTTCCCACTAAGAAAAGAAGAAAAATATAGCGACAAATGACTTTCTTTCCTTTCTATTTTCTTTCTTTCTTTCTTTTTTTTTTTTTTTCTTTACATTTTTGTTGATGGCAAAATTTTATTTCAATTTAAAGAAACACAAACTTTTGACGGAAATATATATAACTTAATTTTTTAAACGTTAATTTTAATTTTTGAAAATTAACTGCAAATTGTTATGCTTTAAGATTGATTCCTGTTTTTAGCATTCAATCTTTGCACATTATGTTATTTTAAAAGTAATTAATTTCTTTAAAATTTAGATTTGATTCTGATTCCAGAACAGTAGTAATTTATTTTGATGTTTTATTCAATTATTACTCTTATTTTAAATATTTTATAATATTTAAAAAATGAAGATCTTAGACGCAAAATATTTAACAATTTACTAAAAATCCATAATAATACTTTAAATATACTGTGAACTGTGATATGAATTTGTTTTGAACTATGAACTTATGAAATATGTTGTCAACTATGGGTTCTTAAAGATTCCTTTAATAACTATACATCAAATTAGCAGGAAGAAATTGACACTTTATTGAAATTAATAACAGCTCATAATCCTGACATATAGGGCAAGGAGAGAGTTTACTTCAAGGAAAGAAAAGTAAATATTATAAATAAATGCTTGTACAGAAGCTTAACACAACGTCCTTCAGACTCTACTAATCTGTAAGCGATTTATCTCTCTAGTCTGAATAAATATGACAAAATCTTAGGAAGGTTATAATAACACTTTTATTGAAATCATTAAATTAACATAAGGTACTTCTCATTTAGAAATCATCAAGATTTTTATTGGAGGCGAGTAAACACAAAACATAAGCTATAACCTTGCCGGTATTTGTACTCCGGACCTTGTAGTTGCTAGCCGGACGTGCTTTCCAATTACACAAAGAAGGCAAGAGGTAAGGAGGGAGAAAAACCTTATAAAGATAAGATATTACATGTTGTTTTTGCCAAGCGAGATATATCAATGATCATCAAATCACTTACACAGTCTAAAGAAATAATTACAAACAGAAATACAATACTGTTGCCCATTTTTGAATGAGTAATTTAACAGAATGATTCTTGGTTCCAACACAATCTATCTGTCTATATATGCATATATATGAATGCCAGACTCAGTCTGTTTAGATATCTATTGCAAAAAAGAATAAAATAATAAATGCATTTAAGATCTAGCCCATGTTCAGTTCGGAATAAACTGAATGCAAAAATCTAAAACCAGAAGCACAATGGGAAACCTCAAGAAAGAGGGAGACCAAAAATGCTCAAACCTAAAATGAAAAAAGATATTTATATCTTTCGCTGCATAGGCATCAGGGGGCTGGGGCTACTACGAAAGAATAAATAGAAAAAATAGCCTGTTAATGAACCGAAACAGACATTACACACACACACACAGACGTACCCTTAGATGTACTTGCAACTACACCGTGAAGTTGGAAGTACGTCCGGGGTATCCAACTACACCTTACTTCCAACTACACTTTGTATCTTGTTTATGTGTTATCTTATTATGTATTATGTGAAAGTAGAATAAATCCTAAATTTTATCGAATCCATATTCTACACGTTTTCAGACTTTTGCAAATCCTCCGTATCATCAGAATAATAATAGAACTTTAAATTAATATTAAAAGGTTTCAATTATAGAAAAACTTTAAACCTACGTTCAACAAACTCCATTTTAAAAGTACTGTTTTTAAAAATGCTCATATGCTTATTACGATGATACAATTGAGATAAAGCAACTCATTTAAATAATTAGAAATCTTGAGCTTTGTCGTATTTATTAGTTTCTTCCAGCTTTTCATAGCACTTCCTCGGTTTATCAGATCTTAATAAGATGGTCTTCAAGATCGTTTATCATTTTGACATTATCTACTGAATAAAAATACTATACAAAAATATAACAAACTCTACAACACTGACTCTGCTGTTTGTCAGTAATACTAATCTTTCCAAAACATCTTCATAATGGGTCAGACCCCTCGAATACACATTGTGCTGAACAGGTTTACAGATTATCTCTAAATAACAGACATGTAATTCTGTCCAGAAAATAAAAAAATGGTACATTCAGGATTCATTTCAACTTAAATTGCAAAATTCCCTTTTTATTTTAAAAGAACGCTATAAATAAATGTCAATAATACTAATCTTTCTAAAGGTTGCAGTTAAAATACTTAACGATCTTTTAGTCGAGTACTAAAAGTAAATGGATAGTGAAAATATGCCAAAATTCGAATTTTTGAATTTCAAATCTTTTGCGAGATTACTGAGATTCGAGGACTCCAGGATGCGAATGTAACATTCGTAATACACAGGTACACGTAAGGTGGACACCAGCAATGTACCATGGGTCAACTGGCAATGCTTTCTCATACTAACTGGCTCTTAAAGAAAGGGAGAAAAGAAAAAAGAATTGAAAGCTTTCAAATTTTACTTTACGCCCAACGGGGCGTTTTTTTACCGTTTTGTCTATTACCCTTATTTATTAAATATCATGTTCTTCGTACTTAGTACATAAAATTCAATTTAACAGCTATATCGCAAAATAATTTTAAAATGAGAATATCTTTAGAATTTCCGATACCAATTCTCGAGCGATGGAGATAGAAATGTTTTTTTCCTTACGGTGTTGCCATTCCTCGCTTTGAAATCGTTGAGTTTGTTAATCAAAAAATCTTTAATGTCTGACAAAATATGAAATCGTTAATAGAACAAATTTCAAATTTCAAATTAGTGCTCCCAGATGCCCATATTCGGTAGAGGATTAAGTTATTCAAAATTTAATGGCTCTAAGTACCGTTCTTTATCCCATTGCGAGAAACATACATACATTTATGCAGATTCTTCATTATTTAATTTCTTTAAATATAATATAGTGCTGTGATATTTGGTGGCAGTTTGAAAAGTGAATCGACGCAAAATGCCAAAAGGAAATTAACAGCCCTGCTGGGCTAACGCCGTTTGGACTAAAAGAAAATCATTTGCAAACTTTGTATAATTACAAGAGTTATTTAGTTACAATTTATATTATATAGTTACAAGAGTTATTTAGCTAGAGTTATAAGCGTTTACAAAGAAAGGTTGAGGACATGAGCTGTGTATTTCTAATTTACAGCAGATATTGCTGTGTATTTCTAATACACAGCAATAAATCCTTTATTTCTTAGTCTTTTTTCAAAAGAGAAAGCTCTTTTCATTTGCCCTCATCTAATAATTATGAAAACATTACGCATTTGTCAATAAGGTGTCAACAAATTCAAAATTGGAATTTACTGAAATCTCTTGATACTTTTGACGATACATCAGACCTATTTAAAATTCCTCGCATCATAAATACTAATGTAATCTAAAAATATATAATCTTCCTTTTCACGATAATCTCAAAAATTCATGTCGTGATAACTCCTCTGAAATTGAGGTCAAGCACGCTTAATGTCACGAGGGTAGTAATTTAACATCTTACGGCGGAAACACGAAATCTGTCCTTAGCTCAGATTCCAGCTTATCGTGAAGAACGCGTAATTAGAAACCGCATGACGTCAAGCATGAACCGATCGAAGAAGTGGTCAACAAGCTCACGGTTATTATACTCTCAGCCCAGTTCCAAGAAAGGGAGATTAACGACCAAGGAATTATGATCGATCATGCGGAATAAAAGAAAGAGACGCACTTCGCAGGCAATTTCTCTAACGGAAGGCAAAATCAGTGAAAGAATATCTAGAGAAACACAGTAATACAATAAAATCTCATAAATACATAGAAGAATATTTTATACATAAAGTTTTAATAAAATTTATTGCACATGTTATGACTTAATACGTCGCTTAATATGAAAAAGATTAAATTTTTTTTACAAGAAATGATTTAGAAACAATATTTTAGAAACAATATTTATAGATCATCAACCGAATTTGAAGGTATAAAAATTAAATTATTAACTGTACCCTCGGCAAGATATGAACCTCAGATCTTCTATTTAAACTGGTTAGACGTATCAACTATTTGCCCATAAGGGCAAATGTCAGGAAATGCTACCATTCGTTACCTTACTCCACACTTAAAGGGCTACCCGGAAGAGGTATGATCTTCAATAGATC